CAATGCTCCAGCCCACACAGCTTTGACGGTCCGACAGTTTTTGACAAGCAACAACATGGTGATTGTGCCTCATCCACCTTACTCGCCCGACCTGGCTCCGTCAGACTTTTTTTTGTTTCCACGGATGAAGAGAAGCCTGAAAGGAAAGTGATTCCGTGATGTGGATGAAGTCAAAGAAAACACGCTAAAGGCTTTGAACAGTATCCAGCCTCAAGAATTCCAGCACTGTTTTGAGCAGTGGCAAAAGCACTGGGACAAGTGCATTAATGCACATGGACAATATTTTGAAGGGGACTAATATACAGTTCAATAAAAATGCAAAAATAAAAATAAATCCCAGTTATTTTTGGGTCCCCCCTCGTATCAATTCTGATAAGTGATCTTTCTGAGATTCTTTGTGTCATCATTTTATAACAACACATGGCTGAGATACTGGATTTTAAAAAGTCAGCAACAGTTATATAATTAAACACTGTTCAATTATTCTTCATTACTTTCATATCCATGTGATAACTACTCCAAAGAAGATAAAATATTTTCATACCCACATTATTATTAAAACCTTAGTGCCATATTGTACAGTAAAGTAAGTAAAACTGTAAAGCTATCCCTGTAACAGGCCGTGGAGGCCCATAGGCTTGTATGATGTTGAGGCTTCCACATTTTCTAGACAGTTGGCTCAGAGATAACAGTGAGGTTGTTAGCCCTACGCACCAGCCGCCCTTTACCCCTAGGAATATTCCTGGTACTCATTTTTGTTAAAGGCTGAGTCGACCCCAGGCCATAATGCTCCTGGAAGAATTAGGTAAATTGAAAAGATCCACCTCATCATGATTCGATCCCATGACCTTCCAGCTTGTAGCATAATGCCTCAACCAACTACACTACCGCATGCCCCCAGTGCCATATTGTATTATACATAATTGGAAGTTAAAGGGAGAAACTTGTAGTTATGTGTTTCAATCACTTTCAGATATTATAAGTCCTTTAGGACAAGCAGTTTCAGAAATTGTATAAATTCTTGTAATATCAAGGTTTCATTAGATGTGTACCCCCTGCAGTATGCCTTTCTGGCTTTGTTTTGCACAAACTTGTTTTGTGATAGCCTTCATCCTGCATTATCTTTCTTTATATTTCCAGAACGTGATAAATATTTTGCAGCTCCCCGTATGCTGAGGAAGAGTGAAGCCATTGAAAGTTTTAGCTTCAGTATACCAGAACATGCACCTGATGTAGTTCCATCAAGGAAGAAGTCACTAACTCATGCTTTTGCTAGCACGGAAGCAATGACAGTCAGTGGAGTGACATTTCGTGAGAAACGAAGACCTATAACAAGAAGTAAGTAATAGGTTTTTGGCTGTTTGCATTCTCATGTAGCATACCGTTGAGTAAAATCTTTCATACCAAGAAATGTCAGTACAACAAACTCAGAATAATGAATATTCAGTACAGTGAAATTATTGTCAATTCCCAACCAGTTCCCCATGTGTCTGTTTGTAACTTATAATGAATTTCATTCTTAAAAAAAATTAATAAAATTGGGCTCCTGACAAACAAATAATACAGCAAAGTTAGCTTTTAAGAGACTCCATAACTTGGTTCAGATCGATCACTGTTGGATATTCAGTTGCAAACTGACAACACTGTAATGGTTACAACATGGAAGAAAGTGTGACAAATGTTGCATTCTACATTGGTTTGACAATGTCTGAGAAATGAAGTAAATGGAGTGAATAGCTTAATGGTAGTTGTGTTGCAACAGCCTTTAAATTAAAATTGCACAAACTGTGTATAACTTAATGAGTATTTATAAAAGAGTATAATGTCACGTGTTTGGTGTATAACGCGACAAATAATTTCACACAATCTTGGATATATCACTTGACGTCGCTTCCAGAACTCTTACCTTTTCTGGGATCTTGCTGCAGCGTTGTCCCTGTTCCTGTGTCTCCTATGCTGTGCCACTTCTGCATGGCGGGTCATCCTGATTCTCTCAGCGGCCAGTTTTTCCGCGGTCGACACTTTTCCTGGGTCTTGTTCACCCTGAGGATGTCTCTCTTGAGTCGTGCCACTGTTGCACAGTGGGACATCTTCTTGTCGTTTTTCTTAGTCTGCTGTGTCACTTTCACACGGCAGCTCGTCTCTCTTCTGGCGACAGCCAGTCCTTTCCTTCAGCACACATCCTGACACTGGGTCTGTTCATTCATCTGGCAGTGACGCTCAGCAGCCAGTTTTCGGTCCTTACACCTTTTCTTCTTTGGTTCTCCAACTGGCATTACTTCGGCGTCTTTTATGGGGACCTCTCGTTGTTGGGCCACCTTAGGTTTCCTGTCCACTGAGGTCGGCTCTTCTTCTAGACGTGCCTCCATCTCTTGGCAGGCCATCGTCTCTTCTCCTTCTTGTTTGGTTTCTGCCATCAGCTCCTTGTGGCTGGCGCCCATATTTTGAGCCTGGCGGCCGTCATTTTCATCGTTTCTTTTAGGTTTCTTCGATCAGCCTTCCTTTCTTCCCAATCCATATCCCTATTGGCCTCCAGTCTGTCTTGATAGGCTCTGAGCATTTCATGCATCTGCACTCAGTCGGCATCTGCTTTTACTTGGTTGGCCTTCATCTCTTTCAGCATTTGAATTATTTGTTCCATTTTCGTCATGCAGCGTGTTTAAGTTCGTAAACCACTTCTGACGCCAAATTGTCACGTGTTGGGCGTATAACGCGACAGATAACTTCACGCCGTCTTGGATATAGCGAATTTATTGAACACTCACCCTCACAATACACAATTACTGCCATCGGCAGTATCACAAATACTTCTCCTGTTTCCATTCACTCCAGTGAATGCTAGACTGCAAATGACTGAATACTCTGGTAATCCTTTCGTTATGTAGCTTCCGCACTGACAACAGAAAGCAGTTACGTGATAGCTACCACTGTTGCGTAAACGCTGTGTTTACAGGCGTTGCTGGGAAACGCTGCCGAAAGTTGTTTATTGCTGTGTAGTAACCGCCGTGTTCCCTGTTACGTCAATGGGGAGGATGGGGACGGAGTGTTGACTGGCCTGTTACCATAGCAGCGGCAGTTGCTCCAATGCTGCTATATCCCCACTGGAAGGGGGGGGGTCCTGCATAGCGCAAATATGTCACAGTAATAAATAAGAAAACATTATTGTTGTTAATAAATGCAACATATTTATATTCACACATTAAAATAAATATTATAAAATATCCGCCCAAAGTGGGAAAACAGTGAAAGTTCCTTCCATTGTCAGCTTTCTAACATGTAACTGAACTCTCACCGCGGCAGCCCGGGTCTGGTCAAGTGGGATTTGTGGTGGACAAAGTGGTGCTGGGGCTGGTCTTCTCTGAGTACTTCGCTTTCCCCCGGCCAAAATTCTCCATCATCATAATCTCCTGGGGCAGCCTACAACAGGTCAATCAGTGGCCGCAGTGCCGAGTGGACCCACTTGGACTCCACCCCCCCCCCCCC